TATCCAACCCTTATCTCCCCACCTTTTTTTTTTTTTGTTTAAAATGGTTTTGATATACTGTTTTTGGAACAAATCATTGTCGGCCAGAGTTTTGGTAACATTTCACCAACAGCTCTGTTCTTCAACAGAGGCTTATTTACAGTAAGTTCTATATGAGTCTTTCACCCTATTGATTTCTCAGACATCTCAGACATTTTTCTTTGCATTTAGCCCAAAGTTTCCAAAATCTGTGCAATGTGAGCTAATGTCCATTCTTTGTCACTACCCTTGTAAGAAAATAAGTTGTTAAACAGTTTTAATGAAAACTCTAAGTTTGTTAACCATGAAATCAGGGAGTTTTCTGTTGCACAAAGAGAGCTTACTCAACCTCAGTGTCTGTTACAACATTTTCCCTCAAACTAACCTGGTAAGATACAGGTTTTTCTCAATAAGCTTGGAGTGTCATCTGTCTCCGCCATCCTTAAAGCCAATTAATTTCCTGAGTCGGTCAGAAGGGTTTTGTCATAGTTCTGTACAATTAAACAACATCTGTCAGTAGGTCTGTTAGACACATTGGATGTTAAAAACACAAACATGACATGTATTTTTGAAATGGATCAAATTTAAGAATGAGCAGTATCAATTCACAGAGAATTAAATATTTTTGCCAAAAGGGTTCTCTGATTGCGTTAACTGCAGATGTCCTTTCAAATTCAGAAAGTTGTCTTTATGAGCACTACCAATCATTCACATACATCTACAACCTTATCCGTGCTCACATTTTCAGCATTACATAGACTTCTTAACCGGTATTTAACAGAACTTGATATCTGTGAAGGAACATTGATGTGTGATAACAGCATAATATAAAACAACTGAACAGTCAAACAGCCACTTAGGGTTTTATTGTGTAATGGAAGATAGAATCAAAATGAGAAGGTCCCACATGAGATGATGCACAGGTCCTCACTGTTTAAACAATGTTTTTATACAGGTGCGCCCCTACCCAATGAGAATTTCACCTAAATTGAATGCATTGTTCCAGTACCTTTCAAG